CCATGTTTTTCTGAAGTTAACTTTTGACTTCTTTATGGCATTCGAAATTAGTTAGGACGCAGCAATTGCTGTTGGATGAATCAATGGGCAGGCTGGTTCGGAGTACAATTGTTTCTCAGAATACCGAAGTTAAGTAGGAGTATTTCATTCTAGCGTTTCGTCTGGTGAGCTTATTAAGCGTAGCCCACTATTTTTAAAAATGGCCAAGGCATCTAAATATACGTTGAAGATTTCCAGGACCAGCGGTAATCACTTAATATCAGGTGAAGCACCTGCTCGCTTAGTTTTCAATGATGGGCTTTTTCATTTCTTTTATTTAGCTCGCTTTTTACATAAAAAAGGAACTGATTTTAAGGTCCAACATCACAACTAACTCAACGGACTACGTTAATTCCTGGTATGGCAGAATAAAACTTTTGGTTAAAATAATTTTGTCGGAAAAAGAAATCTTTTTGGAAAAGAAAAGTTCAGATTTGGAATTATTTAAATCGAGACCAATATTTTTAAATTGTCTAATAATTTCGATAAGATCACTTTGTATATCGTCAATTTTACCTCCCAGCGTATCATCGTCTAGGTACTAGACATTAAGTTTAGATTTCAATTTTGAAATAATTGGATGAATTCCCAAACTACATAATGCTCGTCCCCAGCTCGTCCATCAAGTAACTTGGGCACATTACTTGATGATGAAAGCCTACGCATTGCTATAAGAATCCATCTGGGGGCACCGATTTTTCAACCACACGCCTTTGTGGTATCAGTGTAGACAAATTTGGTCTCTACGGGCTTTCTTGTCAAAAAAGTACTGGCCGCTTTTCCCGCCACGGTTCCCTAAACGACATCATCCGTAGGGCTCTTGTTTCCATCAATGTTCCGTCTAATTTAGAGCCCTGTGGCATTTTTCACGACGATGGTAAGAGATCTGGCGGTAAAACTTTGATCCCTTGGGGGAGAGGCAAAGCCCTCGTTTAAGACGCCACTTGTGTAAACACTTTGGCTGCTTCTCATCTAAGGGGTACTTCGGTCAGCCGGGGCGGCGTCGGAGGCAGTTGAAGCAAGTGAATGGCGCAAATATGAGTTTTTATGTTTAGATTATGTATTTGTGCCATTTTCTGTTGAAACATTAGGTCCGTGGGGTCCACGCACATCAATTTTTTTTAAAGTTTATGTCCTAGGCTTAACGCCGCGGCTGGTGAGAGAGCTGGTTCTTTTCTCGCTCAAAGGTTAAGCATAACTATTCAGCGAGGAAATTCAGCTAGCGTTCTTGGCACCATGCCGCGTGGATTAGGTTTATTAGGTAATATGTAATTTTAGATAGATAAAATCTTGTAAATATTATATCAATTAAAAAATGCATGGCATATATATTATCATCAGGCGATAGGCTTGCAGCAGGACAATCTATACAGCCCAGGGTCGATTTGGTATCCGATTCCCGATTTCAGGGTCGCACGCGCGCGTGTTTGTGTGTGTTGAATGTTACTACAAAAGGTCAATCGCAGAAGCGTTCCATTGGGCAATTGGTGACGCACGGCCGTGCAGTTAAATCGTCTCAATTCTCTAATGGTCTTTCTTGACCACACGCAATGTACGCAATGACGTTTCAAGGGCGCGCCGCCACCGTCTATACGTCCCTACGCAACCACAAAACTTACATAGGTACCTACAGTTGTATTTCGATTTGGCGCGATTGTAGAAGGAAATAGCGCATCGTATGGAACATTAGCGTTAACTCAAATAGGCCAGGAACGTATGAGAGTATAGGAATTCTGCTAATGGTCGTATGTTAGTGATGATTTTTGTCTCTCATAATTATGCTAATGTCCCTTCTAGTTTAATTTCCCCTGTCTATCAGTTCCCAGCGATTAAGTTATGTTTTTGAACATTTTAAAAGCCATATGGTATTACTTTTATTCTCTATATGTATATTTCAGCCTCGTACGGAAGTCAATTATTTGCAAAAAAATTATTATTAATTTAACCGATCAGACATTAAGAGACATAGAGACATAATTATGTCTCTTAATATCTGATCGGTTGTTGTGAATTCACAACAACAATAAAATCCGGCTGCGGTACTAAAATACTTTGTAAGTTCTTGGCGCAAAAATAAGGCAGACGCCTAGGGTCAGACAATAAAGCAGCTGTACTCAACCTGCGGCCCGCCAGCCGGGCTTTTGGCCCATCTGGTGCTACTTTATTTTAAACCATTTTGAATTTCGCGCCCATAAGAAAAACTGTGAGCCTTGAGGATCCCCGGTACCGTCACCAAAGAAATTGTTAATTTCAAGTGCTGTCTTTTGACGTACTGAGCGGTGAAGCAAAACATCATGGGGAAACCTGCATATTTTCGTAATCATAGCACGTGAAGTCTGCCAATCCGCGGTGAGAGGCCTTTGCCCAGCAGTGGGATATATAGGCTGTTACTTTCCTTTTTTTTTTTACTCGTGTGCAAAAATTACTGTTATAAATTGCTGTTTTATACATACTGGTGGTAGAGCTTGTTGACAGACGTATTTTATATACATAAACATGCAAGTCCTAGAATTAAGTTTCTACTATTACTTATTCTCCAAAATAGAATTTAGGTGTATTGAAATCTTTGAAACCTTAAACATTTATAGACTATGGTAGTGTTATTCATATATATTTTAATTTATTTTACCAGGGCAATAAATGAAGCTGATACTAAACGCCAATAAATGCAGGTCCTTCCTTATATTTAATTTTTTATAATTTGCAAAAATTTATTATTATAGTAAGTATTTCATCAATTATGAATTCGGTTTTTATTTAAACCTAAATAATTTGATTTAAAGACACAGACATTGCGTCTTTGAAACTTCATTAAATGACAAAAAAAAAAAAACATTTTAAAATATACGCGATGAATCCCTTCATAGTTGTTTATTTCAATTTGTAACAATCGCGAAAACCTAATAAATCATTAGGTAGGTACCTAGGCGACTAAAAGGGGACACGGATTGGCAGCAGCTCGAAGTGGTCTCCAGCTGCTGCAAGATGGTGAGGGAACCGGGGAAGCTATCCTTCTCCGGGGAGTGCTCACGCGCAGTACTGAGGGACACCGGTGCGTTCCGTGGGAGATCCCGGAGTCCCTCCAAACGTACACAGAATGGCCACCGAGGGGGTTTTAGTGGGTAAGAACCTCACATAACCCTGTCATGTAACGTGACAGGGTATCTTTGGAAGATTTCCCCCCCCCCCCCCCCCCCCCCCCCGATACCCAAAAAAAGGTACCTATTTTTTATTTATTTTTAGTGGCCCGCGACACCATGATTTACACGTGTTTGTGAATCCAATGAAAAAAGGTTTAGTACCTCTGCAATATCTGTACATGCAAGTCAAACCATTAACCTTGCTTTTTCTGCTTCACTGTAATCCGGTAAATATGACTGCGCGTTTGTCTACAATTTAATAACAGTTTAATGTGCCTCGTAATTTTTATTAATATACCAGCAACACTCAAGATGGAATTAAAAGTTTCTTGTACAAGTCCATTTTTTTATTAACGAAAAACAAAACCGACTTCAAATATCTCGCTCTGTATCCATTTTATAATTGGCTAACTGATAAACGCGGCTTCGCCCGCGCGATCAAAGAAATTAACAATGAGTTTTCTATTTTACACCAGAATATCTCGCAAATAGCTGAATTTTTTCCTACTTAGTTCACTCTTATCATTACCTATATTTTGGACAATTCACACAATATCATTATAAATTATAGCCTATATCCTATTATGAGGTATTAGCTAAATTTTAAAATTTATTGTCAAATATCACTAAAATCGATTCATTAGTTTTTGTGTGAAAGAGTAAAAGACATGAAATGATCTGGAATCGAACAAAAAATAAAGAAATAAGTGTGTAAATGATCGTGACACGAGCCACGGTCTTCTGTTTCGGGGCCGCCTGATTACCGACGGAGCTATTATAACATTTTTTTTTTCGGTGAAATTTACCGTCGTATTCGAATGATATTTTCATTCCCTGAAAACTGGGATAAAACGACATTTTTTAAAAATGAAAACTTAAACTAAAATGAAGCCAGATCGATTTTTCGCCAACGAATCTACGCACATACAAAATTTCGTGAAAATCGTTTGAGCCGTTTCCGAGATTCCGATTATAAATACATGTATATATATATATATATATATATATATATATATATGTATATATATATATATATATATATATATATGATTCCCGGGGCCAGCACCAATGAAATTGTTAATTTTAAGTGCTGACTTGTATCACGTGCGCAGGTGCGAGGTGAAGGAAAACATCGTGCGGAAACCTGCATATTTTAGAAATAATAACAAAAAATATTTCCAAAATATGTGAATGCCCAGCAGTGGGACATTTATAGGTTATTACTTAACTTTTTCTCTATGTGCATTAAACGCAAAAATATTTTTTTTTATATAAATAAAACTTAATAATAAACTGTAATAAGGTTGCTTAAAAAACTTCGTAAGATAATATGCCAACTGAATTATTTACATTCAATGTGATGCCTAATTTAATATTTAAACGCACGTGTTGTGTCAAGTGTTGAGGGGCCGTTGACCCCTCCGATTATGGCGAATGGAAATCCAGCACACTGCTTATTATCTTTTGAAAACGAATAACTGATGAATCATTTTTGAAAAAGTTTTCGTAGTCAGTGACCGATTTAGATGACGAAAATTGCAAAACAAATAATAATAACAAGTACACATACGAGTACATAAATAGGACCGAACCAGACGGAAGCCAGGGTTAAAGGGAGAGAAACCGGCGGACGATATGCTAATCTACATGTTTATTTTTATTTATAATATTTATTTTATATATACAATTTATATCTATATTTTTATTTTTATAAATAAACCCAAACAGACGAGAAAAGAAACAAATGTCCACAAAATAACAAATATTACTTGTAAAACAAATAAATATTACATAAGAACAGTTTCCCGCGTAAACACTTACCATGGAGCTTTTTCAATTATAGTCTGTGCAGCGCCGTTTTTGTTCGTCTCGATTGAAGCCATTTTGAAAACTGCAAAAATTAAAGAATATTAACAAAGATAGCAATAAGGTACAGCGTGAGTAAATTTACAAATAAAAGACGAAGATTTATGGTAATTAAGATATCACATTAGTTGATAGCAAAAAAGTACGCAATTTCAACACTTCCTTGATAGCAGATAAAATAAATATCTCGGAATAAAATAGAAACAATTAATTTAAGCAATAATTAAGAACTGTTACCAAAACCAAAAACTCACTAAAATATGTAGGTACTCGTACAAAATACACAAACACATGAAAACTTATTTTCTCTATGGCTCGACGATTAGAAATGCACTAAAATTTAAAATAATCGTATGTACTAGATTTTTGTCATAGATAATATATAATATGTAATTAATCAATGTCTGCGAAATACATTAATATTACATAAAATTTATTATATACAAACATGGGACGACACTTTTTTCTTTCATTTGTTTTGGTTTCAAAAGGATGATGTTAAAGTAAAAACCGTCCAAGTGCGAGTCGGAATCACGCACGATGGTACGGAAACCGTTATCTATAAAAACGGCAAAAAAGTCACGTCTTTTGTATGGCAGCCCCACTTCACAAAAATTTCACTTGTCTAACTATCACGGTTCGTGAGATACAGCCTGGTGATAGACGGACAGACGTATTCAAAAATAACTTATTGGGAAAGACCACTTTGGACTTTTTGAGCCAATGAATAAGATGAGCATAGTTGAGATGTTACAATAATTATTCATTAATAATTTATAATAATGTAATAAGTCTTCAACCTAACAAGTAATCTCAAGACAAATAGGCAAAAAATACACCACTTGCTAAAAAAGTAATAGTCCAGACACTTAAGGTTAATGTATATTTGTTTTTTTTTTTCTTTTAATTTAAGTAATCGTAAGAGGCAACAGAATATTCCAGTTTAGTGACTCGTTATAGTACTTACTTCCTTATGATCACCGCGTATACAAAAACTATAATAGTAAACAAAAAGTTTGGTGTGCTCTACTGTAATAACAGTTTAAAAAATGTTTATTTTTAACTAGTGCAACAGTATTTCTAACAGTGTTGAGTTAGCAATATGCGAGCATGTAGTTATTTGTCCGGATTTTTCCGTATTAACATTTTAATCGTCTTCCTTTCCCATTTTCTTATAAAATTTTTGGCTTGTATAAATTATTTTACACCGTCAACACAATCATGAATGAACAGAGATAGCACCCACATGCACCGACGTTCTGGTATCAATGTCTGTACTATGTTTAATTGGTTCGTTTTCATCCAATGATGTTTAATAATATAGATGACGCATGTCCATACTGCGCGGCGTTTGAAAATTGTTCCGGTTTACATTAAATGACATATATGTGGATGTGACAGATGATATAGAACGTATGAGACGGAAAGAGATAGCAATCTACAGAATTGCAATGAAATTACACTAATTGCCGTAATTTGAGCGTCTCAGCTTCAGTGCGGTAGTGTCGTATCTACCTCATATTTGTATATAATATCATTGGTTTCCATCAATCAATACGATGTCAAATAACTATGAATACCATAAAAAGGACGATTATAATGTGAAATTAACATTTGAAAATCTCAAATATCAGACTGGCAACTGCTATTTAAATTTCGTTAATGTTTGCCGATAAAAACTAAAGTTGTTTTTATAATAACGACTGAATCATGCGATTCTAAAACTGTTAAGTATTAAGAGAATTAATGTTGTCTTAATTTATATTTAACGGCAAATGTCATATAATACATTCCAAACGGGACTAAATCGCGGTTTTGTTATTAGAAAAATAATAACACCTTATCGAATCGACGAAAATGTTAAATAAAATTTTAGTGTTCTGAAGTGTAAAACGGGACCCTATTCCTAAGACTTCGCTGTCTGTCTGTCTGTTTGTCCGTCTGTCACCAGGCTGATCTCATGAACCGTGATAGTTAGACAATTGAAATTATATTTAACAACAAATACAAAAAAACAGAATAATAAAATATTTAATTGGGGTTCCCATCCAAACAACATGATTTTTTTGCCGTTTTTGTAGATAATGAATGCACGGAACCATTTGTGCGCGAGGCCGACACGCAATTGGCTGGTTTTATTTCTTTTCTGGTATGAGTAAAAATAGATTTTTGTGAAGTTAGGTTTTTTTAGTTTTTCATAACCTCAATAGGCGGCGGTTATGGCTTAACATCAGGTGAACCGCCCGTTGGCCACCTTAAAAAAAACCTATACAAAAGATTGTTTCTCTTTAATCTGTCGAATACCCATAGAGGCATGATGTCTTCTGTGCACTTGTTATTTCTTTAGTTTGAAAACAATTGATCTAGCCGGGCTTAAAAATGAGTACGAAGATTAGATTAGGTACCTATATGGTATTTTTTTACATTATGGACTCATAAATTTTTCATTTTTATATAAATAATCGATAGAGAAACATATCTAACACAATGATAATAAAGTAAAATCTTCGGAAACACTTACTTTTATCAGCAGTTTTAGATTTTTAAATGATGTCATCCCTATGGTCACTTTAGTTTACTATCAAACTAAATGCATAAATAAGCAATACACGAAAGAATTAACATCTACTTGATTATGGATCGCTTTAAATGGGGATCGCTCAACAAAGCCATCGGCTTTAATTACCCGAAAATTTCCGATCATGTCGTGTACTTAAATCATATCCTAAATATATGCTTTGACCACGTGTTTGCGAAGATGGCGACTTACGTGGTCATACAGGACTTACGTTTGATCAGTAATCCCCACTGATAATGCCCAGCTTCCCAGTCCATACTTGTTGATAGATGTGTGGGCAAAAATGCACATGGACTATATGTACATTTCGCTCCCTTCTTTTATGAATGTATTTAGAGTCATTTTCAAAGTAATCAGCTAAATATTAACTGTGTATATATAACAAATACTTAAATTATTAAGTCCCTATTTTTCATATTCAAATAATCTCATAGCTTAAAAATTTATTTGCTATATTATGATTATATATAATCATATAAAACTCTTGGCCTTTTGAAATATTTATCACGAGATACCTACAAATTTTACATCTGAAATCATGAACATTAATCTCACGGTTGGTGCAACATTGCGTTTAAACTCTGGTGATAGCTTTTATTGTAACAACGAAATATTCAAACAAATCTTACAATGCTAATGCGACCGCTTAAATATATTTCAAATCACTTACGGTATCTTAAATGGGTTAATTTGACACGTGGCACTGTTCTTGGAACTGTCAAATTTGGCGGGAAATCGTTTATATTTTTTTAAATCGCGTTTCACAACGACGAAGCGTCCGCTGACTCGCAAACACCGCGAATGACTGAATGACAGAGTTGGCCGATTCTGTTTGCGTGTAGCTCTGAGATAATTAGGCCGGTACACAGATATTCAACATGCCTATGTTATGTATGTTGCCTGTTTGAATATCAACTATCTTGTAACGAGGCGTTTGCTGTGAAACATCCTTGTGATGAATAAATCTTTTTTCGTGTCGTAAAGTCGCCATAATAGATGGACAGGATACAACTAAAGGATACTGGTAACCGGAATCCATTTTAAGGGTCGTTATTGTTATAATTACAATTTGCACAAACATTATTATTAATACACAATACATTAGCGTACTTACAGCTAACCACACCATGTTACAAACTAAACACGACGTTTAGTCTAAAAGTGATAAAAAGTTAAAAATAGTTAGTCCTTTCTTATCGATTATCATTCGGCACAAAATTCGAACGAGGTGCAGTTACTGCTAAATTTTATTTTGACTTCGACAGCCGAAACTGTTATGTTATACAATCTTTCTATTTCTCCATAAATTTCTTGTTATTTTTCGGAAAAAAACTGACTTAAAGCGAGACCTGCTTTCTAGACATTTCAATTTATTGAATGTTGTTTCTGGAACGCAAAAATATAGTGTCGGTTTATATGATGATTGAATATCGGAATACTAATGGGCGATCGAAGCATTTTAATGTGAAAAATTGGACGATTTTAAGTGATAACCGCCGACTATGGACGCCAAGGATTGCTTAAATTGCAAAAAAGTACGAAGCAGACGAAGCAGTATGAAGAGATTTAGATTCTCGTGCGGTGATGTCGACCGCGTAGCTCAGTGGCTAGAATGTCTGGACGCGAAAATGAGAAAGCGCAGGTTCCAATCCAGTCGCCCAAATATACACCATATTTAACTACAGTTTTATCTATATTATTTTTAGATTTTATCTTTAGTCCAGACACTAGCGCTGAAATTAAAAATTTAATTTCAATAGCAAAGGCGACATCTGGGGTTTTCAAATATTCATTTTAAAAATTGCTCTCAGGGAAGTTAAAATACAAAAATCGACAAAAAATTGAGACGGTTTTATCTACATCCTTTTAAATCGGAAAGATAAAATTCACAGTTCAAACTGCCCGGTTTTAATAACGAAACGAATAGTCAAATTCATGGAGATGGAACTGCGTATGAACAGACGTGGGTTCGATTCCCACAGCGGCGACAATCTTTTCGTACTTTTTCTACATGTTTTAATGCGTGTGAACAGGCTTATCACACTCACTTTTACTGACATTCATAATTATATCACATCTTGATTCTGAGGAGAAGGCAGCAATACATAATACTTAAGTGTTCTGCGATGTTCTCTTCGTATGTTCCCTTTAACACCCTACCAATACTTTTCTTATATTTATACTTACATATTCGATTATATGCGAGTGCATACGGATGTCATTATGTAGGTATATCCTAAAATGTTTAGAAATATGTGTCGTATGTAGTGTAATTTCATTGTTATTATATAATTTTATAGTGCCAATGTTAAGTTATCCTTAATAAATAAAAAATAACACGAACTGCTAAACCTGTAAACTGTAGAGTTTCGTATTTCATCCTTCATTCAAACATGTTCCAGTACAAACAAAGTGAAAATTTGGCAAGCGAACAGTCGGTTGACCTGATGGTAGTGATAAACACCGCATTACGTATTAATTATTTTATTAATATCATTCATTTTGCCCTTAAAATTAACCATTTCACAATCGTACGTCATGTCCGATATAATTTAAAATAATTTTCAAAAAATTACATAAGCTACATAAAACTTTTTCTCAATTGCATAATGCTTATTAAGTTTTATTACTTCATCAGTTAAGGACCGGACAAAATTAATAAAATTATGTTAATCTAATGTAAAAGTTTATAGTATTTAGTTCAGGTTTTATCCCGTAAGCAGGACTGCCTGAACTTATTGGTAAACAAAGTGATTAAGGAAACGTACTTTCCGAAATAAATCCCAAAGTCACGATAAACTTCTTTTATACGACGATTTTAAAACCCAATATGTTTATTTCGCAACGAGAACAGGGAAATGAAAGCAAAAACAACTAAATAATGTCAAATAGCAAATGCCGAGGCCAAATTTTTCCGTATTACTTTTACGCCGCCTCCACTGTGGCATTATTTTTAAGACCTCAACGAAGGGTCGACCTTGAGTTTCAGCTTGTAGGCGCTAACTGTGTCATTGGTCTCGAATAGCGACCGCTTTCTAGACCAAGGTCGTTCAATATTTGTAAGCTTCGCTATAGTAACGCCACTCAAAAATGCCTCTGCAACAGCTATACTTATGCCTAAGTACGTAGTAAATATCTCTTTTTTCATCTTATGTAACGTCTTAAAATTATGATATGGTATGATTAGAAATTTAAATTGTTTACAGTGCTAATCTTTGCACTTAAGATTGAACATTAAAATATGTAGAAAAAGTGCGAAAAGATTGTCGCCGTTGTGGGAATCTCTAGCCACTGAGCTAAACGGCTCATAGCTCAGTGGCTAGAGCGTCAGGCCGCGAATGCCGAAGACGTGGGTTCGATTCCCACAACGGCGACAATCTTTTCGCACTTTTTCTACATATTTTAATGGTATGATTAATGTAGATATTTAACAACTTTCAACGAGTTATCTCTGTTGACATTTTTATTTTTACTTTGGACGACTTTATGCAGTTTTAGAAAAAAGAGTAAAAAAAATAGATTACTATATTAGATTACCCACTGCTTAGCAGACGGGGTTAGAACACAGGTGGCTAGAGTATTAGTCTTTGATTACATACTTGTCGACGATTATACAGCGTGTCGTTACCACCGCGACAATAAATGAACACACATATAGAGGATAACTTTTTAAAATTGTATTAAACATTTACATTCTTTAAACATCAATATTTACAGAGTTATTAAACATTCCAAAACAAACAATTTTAGAACACCCTTACGTATAAAAGTGTAACGTAATGTTCATTTGTAAAGGTCACAAAGTATATGAATGGGTTGAATGAATTTAAAAAAGACAAAACATACTGTTAGAAGGAGAGGCTTGTAATGCGACGCTGTGGCGCGAGTTGTATAGGATGTTTAAAATTTTGTTTCTTTTTTACTTAATTAGTTTGTTTGAAAAATATTTTTTTTTAATTATGGATTTTGTTTAACGTTAATATTTTTTTATGATTATTGGCAAGTAGCGTTAGACGTGCGTTCATTTATTGTCGCGATGGTAACGACACGCTGTATATACTTGTTGACAAGTATATAATCAAAGGTATACAAGTAGGTATACTAAAAACGAGCGCTCGAACTAAGCTGTGGCGGATAGAATGATCTAGAATAAAAAAAAAAAGTTATAAATACGACACTGCTGCCATTGTTATTTCGCCGCGCAAGGATTTATAAAATAAAAAAAAATCTAATTCAACTTGTCTAATTGATAACTATTAATATCGCTTCAATGAAAGGTGGTTTGACTCGTTGACATAATTAGAATGTGATTAAGTACGCAGATAAGCAAAACATAGCATATTGACATCTATGTAAAAAAAAAAACAACTTGTTTTTTTTTTGGATAAATCATCAAGCTATCAGATGATTCACCTGTCAATAGTTACTATTACAAACTAAAGTAATACAATTAGTTTGCGATGTCTGTCCTATTAAAAAAAATACATTCGAATCTTGCCAATGCGTACAGTCGGCGCTATAGCATCCGAACTTACTTTCACAGAACCGGCGTTCGGTGGCCTGCAATGGCGGCCGATGATCTGCGCGGCCGGTTGCCAAACTGCCAAGCTTTGCGTCACACCGTGGAGAAATAAACATTTCCTCAGCAGTGCAACTATTCACCGTGTTGGCTTAAGGTACGCAAGATTTCAAACGGCGGCTCTATGTGCAGCGTCTTTGAGTGGAGAGTTGGCAAAAAATGTAGTCACGTAGTGTAACGGATAAGAAAATGTTTTTGTTGTGTTTATCAACTTACACCTATCCATTCGTTTTCGACAACGTCGCTTCAAAAGTTCTGGAAGGAATCACAGCGGTGTAAAATGGATCAGTTGGCTTAATTAAACCAGAAGTAGTGACAGAGCCAAACGGCCCGCAGAAATTAGCAGTGCCATTCAATAACCCAATACTCACCGTAAAGTATCATGAACATGGTAGAAGTAATCTCAATAGCTTACAACCGGAAGCAAACTTGAAAAAGGTGGAGAAGAGACTATGATGAGTGCGAACTATATCCCCCCTCCCCCCCACCAAATACTTTTACACCCGCTTATGTAATGGCGACCCTCAGCTGCTGACAGGAACCCTAAGCGTTTATCGCCAAAAACGCATACATTTGATCATAAGGATTTTCTTTATTATTATCTATTCTTATTATGGAAGAAATTTAAAATGCATTTATATTATTTAGACCGTATAAACGAACTGACGAAAGAAAGAACGAATGTCTAAGGTTTGACGTAGTAAGTTGGCGTTTTAATTATATTTGAAACATCCTTACTAATATTATAAAGGCGAAAGTTTGTATGTATGGATGGATGTTTGTTACTCTTTCACGCAAATACTACTGAATGCATTTTAGTAGTAATAAACATTTGTGTGTTATTTTACTATACATTAAAATTCCGATGAAAACGCTCAAAATGCGTGCAACTTCCCAGTTGGTCCGATTTCATGGCAGCCATCGGTATATACTTGGATATTCTTCAATATTAAATTACCATAACGAAAATTTATAACGTTTTGTAACGGCCAGTACTAAGCCCGGAGGCGAGTTGCGGGATGGCAACACCATTGCAAGCATTCTTTGGCAACGCACGCCCAACAGCCAAACGCAACCTGACAGTCTCTAATGAATAATAGCGTTTCTCAAGACGACGCTGTTAATAATTTAGAACTTCATTTTTTAGATATTGCGTGCAATAATGTCTTAAAATGTCAACTGCGATTTTATAACACGTTTTGTATGTGATGTAATTAAAATTAGTATTTGTTTTTCATGTATGTACTTCAGATGTCCATATCATTTGAATTTCGCGTGTATAATAAAAACTTACGACTGCATTACAAGTTCCTGATATGGAGACAGTAGAATTGTAACCAGCTTTGTAGACATTCTGCCGATAGCTTTTTGAGTAAGTGATGAAGAAAGGAGAGTGCATAAAATCAGAACGTTGAGAAGCCTATTGCAGGAGACAAATAATCGTGGAACGAAGAATCTTATTGTGCACGGTACTGAAAGTTTGGTGATAAGTAAAATGGAGTGGACGAAGAATCTTCGTCCAGAAAGGAATAAAGTGTGGTCAGCGCTCTTAAAGGACGTGTTTGACGAATAGGTAACCATTGTAGTTGTGAGCGATAGGAAGACACATCGAGGAGAGGTCGTACTTGCGAAGACCGAAGACGAGTCGAATGCAGTTATTCAAAAGTCGGTCGAGTTTGTTCATATTGATCTGCATTGATGTATTCAAAGTAGCACACGTCGCCATAGTCTATTATGGAGAAAAGTTAGATGTTCACGAGCATCACTTTGCTTTCTGTCGGTAGGAAAGTTTTAAAACAATGTATAGACCTGAGAACTCTTATTATTGGGGAGATATTCATTTGTTTTCTCGTCTGGTTGGGTTTATAAATAAAAATAAAAATATAGATATATATTGCATATATAAAATAAATTATTACAATTATTATATATTCCTAAATGTTATTTTGTAATGAAAACTTATTATTTTAAAATCAAAAATTGTTATTTTGAAATGAACATTTGTTATGTATGATACACCGAGACGCCAAGAGTCGAATAAAACGGGCGTAACGCCTTTTCCTTACATACGATTTGTTATACATTACATGTGATTTGTGTACGTAGCGGCATTTAGGAATCCACTTACAAAAACTAGTAAATGTCGAGTAACGAGAGAAATCTTTTGAACGGTTTTTCTGGTCTGGTTGGATGTTTTGGTAATATCGTGTAATGTATGGTAGATAACAAGAATTACTTCGCACTGGACTGCCAGTATGTACTGACATATGATGAAATTTTAAAATTTGTCGAAAAAAGGAATCGAGCCCACGTCTTCGGGATTCGCGCCCTGATGCTCGTTTTATTTTTTTAACATTTGACGCAATGCTTGGTGCATCCATTTTTATATCCTTTCCAGCATAGAAACAATTTCGAATATCGATTTACGACGATAATTCGAACTACAGATGTCACCATTGCTTTATAGAAGTTTAAATTTTTATAGTGTTAATATCTGCACTTAAGATTTAACATTAAAATTTGTAGAAAAAGGGAACGAAAAGTTTCTCGCCGGGATTGGCGCCCTGACGCTCTAGCCACTAAGCTAAACCTCAAATTGCCACATAAACAAAATTCCCAACATTCTTTATCTACATCGTTTTTTTTTTTTCGAACTTCGGTGTCAGAGGCAAAACCTAACCAATGCGTGCAAAATTTTTCCCATTTTAATTGTTAAACAGACACGGGTGTAAAACAATGCTTTTACGCAAACAAGAATACCGAAACGATGACAAAATGGACATTTGTTATGAGATGGCATAATTATAGACCGCATATAATTAGATGTGTATATAATCTAAGAAAGTAAAAGTAAAGTATCAGCCTATACATGTCCCACTGCTGGGCAAAGGCCTCCTCTGTACAGAAGGTATCAGGGCATAGTCCATCACGTGGCCCTACTGCGGGTTAGCTTCTGACTTCACATATCTTCGAAATATGATTTTTTGTTATTATTCGATAAAAATATTTTACTCTACTTCTGTATTTCATTTTGGCATCATGTAAATAAAATATGGAAATATTTTGATATTATTTATTGACGGTGTGGCAGATATCAACATTTCACTATGTAGTATTTGTATGCTCTTCGTATACTCTAGGCGCTCGATAAAACTCACATAAATTACGTGTGATCACCTTATTAGTACTCTCAATCGTAATATCTTAACCATATTTCACTTGAATTTGAACAATTATTGCATCTTGAAAAGCGATGTAATAACTGTAATTAGCGATCTCACACTACTGAGTCAAGGAATTAGAGATTGGAAAAAATGTCGAGAGAAGCCGTAATGATTTTAAACATTTTTATCGTTCCTAGATTAAATCCGACCATCTTATCGAATTTTATCACTTTAATGTGTAATAAATAGCTGTATTTGTTGAGGCTTACATTACAGTTTATTTCAATGTACGCAAAGTGTGATTGTTGGTAACGAGAAATGTAAGTATAAACAGATTTTTTAAAGGGGGATATTATATTGGTTGTTATGTGTGAATTTATTGCTTTACATTTGAAAGAAGGTATCATTAGCATTTTTCTTCAATAATAACTTGTATTGGTACAAAAATGTCTGACTTCACTTGCAATTCTTCTGGTGTTACAAACGTCCAGCAGTGATCTCTCACAATTGAGTGGGCCGCTTGCGCGTTTGCAACATTTTCTATAGAAATAACTCATAATTTAAGTTTAGTTGACCACAAGAAATTCAGTGAATTTGTCCTTATACTCCGGCACCTCATGAACCGTGACAGTAAGACAGTTGAAATTATCACAGATGTGATATTTCAGATATTTCTGTTGCCGCTCTTACAACAATTCCTAAAAAACAAAATAAAGAAATATTTATTGGCTGATTTGAGACTCGAATTTTTTTTGAATTGTCAATCCAATATGCTTTAGGGAACACGACAACTCCCCGGTGCGTGTGATACGTGACATTTTGTGGACGATACTGCTGGTCAACTACGAGATATTCTGCGCCATCTTCAGATGTTTCGTGCCGGCAGAACCCAAAGACGTCAGCGGTGAGGTGGTCCTGGTATGTTCTAGTATACAGCGTTTAGTATTTATAAAACGATTGTTCTGTTGGTACTGCAGCTTTTGTCATCGAAAGATGTGGGTCTGAGCGCAGGGCCAGTATTTTGAACCAGCTCAAGAATCGTGCCGAATGTGCGTTTGCCGTAGTTAAATATGTAATGGGTATTAAACTTTTATTTATTAGACAATGAAATAATTGAGGCTACTGTACCTTCAAATGTATTTCAAGTTTGCCATCTAAACATCGTGGATCGAATAAAAAGAAAAAAAAATGGTGGTTGCTAAGCATCAAAGTTGACTTTCATCATACATAATTCAAATTCAATTATCTTTATTAAGTATCTTTAATTTATTATCTTTATCTCTTTATTAATTATTCAATATACAAGAATTACAATTACTTATTGTTCGTTAAAACGCTACCACCGACCGGTTTGCAAAAGAAAAGCTACTGACCTGAGACCTTGTCCCATAAAAGAATTACTTATTCTACGTAGTCCAGTTGCGGGTAGAATGTCTGCTCCTAGTATACAGGGAGAATTTACAAGAAGTGCCCAAATTTACACAGAAAGTTCAGACTCGGTAGTATAATCGTTTATTGAAATAAAAACAAGCTCTTTTTTTTTTTTTTCAAAAAATTGCCGTACTGTTCCCTAAAAACAGAACTTGTTGACAATGGGGTCATTCATAAATACCTAAACACTGTGCACGCACACAAACAAAACGAAGCCCTCGCGACGATAAATCGCAGACGACCCTTGCTCTCTTCCCGCGTCCGTCTCACCCGCGCCAGGATAGGTTCATTTAGTACTATAATTTTATGCTTCGTACTATACACTATCCATATCTAAGGATAGTACGAAAACGTACTATAATTTCATTTCTTTACCTAAATGAGCAATATTATATCATTCACTGCCAATCCAACATTAAAAGAAGTTCTTTGCGTTGTAATCACGTTTTAATTTTTTAACTTTTTTCTATACTTTGGACTTTTTGACAAAAATTGGATCTAATGAGGTAATTAAAAGTACGATTAATTTGTTATTTTTATGATACTGCCGTTCCATTCTTATTCAAAATTCAAAGTGATAACAATTTTCTGCGAGTTTTTGAGTAAAATAATTTATTTTTTGTGCATTAACTATGAAAATAATAGTGTACATAATTTTTTGTCAAATACTATCCTGAGGAATACGTTAAGATTTTCGTCAGTGTGTCAATCAGCCGTTTAGCTCAGAGCGTCAGGCCGCGAATGCCGAAGACGTGGGTTCGATTCCCACAGCGGCGACAATCTTTTCGCACTTTTTCTACATATTTTAAATATTATCCTTTTAAATTTTTGTACTATCTTTTTTACCGCACCTAAATCCAACCCTGGTATAGCCTTGAGTCCCGTTGAGGACCTTCGTAATTTCAGTTTGACCGTGACCTAAATACGGCACGCCTCCAACGATGTCGGAACAACAACGCCGTTATTTGAACCGCGAGTATTACGAGTTGGTACGGTGCTACACTTTAAGTGGTGAAAGTTTACGTGGTGCGTAAAGACCTTATGAAAGTGACTCTTTACATTTAAAAGACAGGCAATGAATTCAAGTGTACCTAATCAAAGGACGATCTTGGCAGCCAACAAAAGGTTATTAGATTTTGGACAATTTACTACACCATCGTACACAATGCTCAGACACAAGTAATGTTAAAAAAATATTTTGAGAAAGCGTGCTCATCTGTGTATTGAGAGAAATGGACTCCATTTTGAACAATTGTTAAAATATTAGTGAGTGTTTTTTGTGACTAAATGAATAGGTAAGTTTATTTGTTGTAAATAGTTGATTCCACTTTTTAAATACGCCACAATAAGTAGGAACAATAGTGTGTGATTTTAAAATAATAAAGTAGTATTTTAGTATTATGATGACCCTTTATTATGACGGTCCTAAGCCCGTTCTCAAGTATGAAGGAAAATTGGAATCATAATCTTACTTGTGCATAGCACAAGTATGTATGTATACGCGTATAGTAACAAACTTTAGTTGTGTGCGTGTCACATTGTAGGTAGATAGGTGTCCACATTTATGCGTCGTATACTTTTGAAACGAACTTGTGTGCGTGAAAGTTATGAATGATCGCGCGTAAAATAAACGAGTTGCGTATAAACGTCACGCACTTTTTGAGATAAGTTCAAATGAATATAATTATTTACTTACGAGTGATTTTAAAATATTTAATCATTTTTTTATATAACATTATTTATGTCTTGAATTTAATAAAAAAAAATGGAAACACTTAGAAAAGCCTCCCTGTATTTATATTATGCACATTCGCATGTCTAGTAATCCATACTTCATATTATAAATCTCAAAGTGGAATCCACTTTCACAAAAAGATTTGTTTGTCCTTCTCTCACGTCGCAACGGAGCGATGTTATGGTATAACAGACTAGTACAAGGCGAAGTAGTTAAAGAGTCGTCAAGGAAAAATGTACAAATTTTCTAATAATGGATCATAATTAGTCGCATAAACAACGTAAGCACTTTTGATAAAGTTGTTGTTTTTAAATTATCTATTTTTTAATATTCACTCTAATTTTCTTAAGCAAAAAATACCTATTGCACAAACTTGTCTTTGAAATTAATCTTATCTGTAAGTGTGAACTCTAAATCAGTTGCAAAATGTTGTAATAATCTCTAGGTAAATAAACGATGTCCCATTGGTTTTATTGAAGACAGAAGTTTAATATAGTTTTATAGTTGTGTTATAAAATTGAATAATTTAATCACACAATTATTCAATTAGTTAACTTGATATTAAGAAAGAATTATGACCCACTGTTAATGTCATTAACAAGTTCTTAAAATATGTCCCGAAATGCAGAAACTGCCCATGCTGAAATGCAGCATAGAGTCTCAAACCCCGGTTTCCGAAACCCTGATCATCGTAGAAGTCAACTAATCAGCTGTCAAATGGCTTTGCAAGTTTTGACAGCTGATTAGACTACGACGATCAGAGTTTCAGAAACCAGCCGTCAAACTTTTATTTCTCGGTGGCGCAGTTGCTAAGACATTGCTTTCGGTGCTGTGGTGGTCGTCGGTTGATTCCCCCACAGGACAGCTATTCGTGTGACGTACAAACCGGGATGGCTGTTTGTCCGTGTGAAATAAGTTTATTATAAAACGAAAAATGATAATGCCATCTTACGGAAAGGGTATTAAAGGGTAGTTAAAAAAGAAAAAAATATATAGGTACTGATTTTTGATCACTTCATCCAATGATGTTATGTACAAAATCGAAGTAGATACCACACTAGCGCATTGAAACTGAGGCACATATACACCATTGACTTCATCATCAGTAAAATCTAAACTTTATTATAATATGAGAAATGTATAAGAGACTAGTTAAACCAGAAAAGGAATGTATTTTACAATTCTTTGTAGGATACCGCCGATATGGTTTTCACTATTCGCCTATTATTAATGACACATTAGATCACTTGTTTGTAGTGCGTAACAATGGATGAAAAGGGCTGTTTCGATTCTTTGATGATCTAAATCAAATCGTTGATCACGAATCATGTCGGTGTGTCGGTAATTTAGGTTTTTTTTTTTTTTATGCGAAAAGTTGTCAAACGAGCAGACGGTTCACCTGATGTTAAGTGAATACCGCCGCCCATGGACATCTGCCTTAGAGGGTTACAGATGCGTTGACAACCTTTTGAAAATTGGGCTCCGGCTACCTCACTCACCAGACGAAACGCGAAAGTATTTGTCATACTTCCACTTTACTCTTCTGTGAGGTCGTGGTACTTACCCGGACGGGCCTGCCCATTCGTGCAACAGCCGAGGCTGCTGCGTGGCCCTACCACCCTTTCTATCAGTTGTCAATGATGGTCCGTTGACAATTGGTAGAAAACGAAAATAATTAAAAAAGACATTACGTAGTAGAACAGACTGTATTGTGATTGTGTTCATACAAATAAATAGCGTATTTCCATATCATATCAATTAATCATCTCATTATTTTTTTAACATTGTACAAAACGTTAAATTTTTTAAATCATCGTAATATATACCTGAAGACAGTTTACGCATTTTAAATGAGATCCATGCTACCAGATAACTGGTACCGGTCATGGCATGGGCCGCGAGATGGCTCTGCGCTTCGGCCGGCTCGGGGCGAAGGTCGTCTGCGTGGACATCAACCCCGAGGGTAACGAACAGACATACAAAATGATACTCGCCGAGAAGGGGAAAGTATTTAAATACGTGTGAGTTTATCTGAATTGTTTTGCGTTTTCGAATATTAACAATTCCTCGTAGCTATATCGGATAGCGCAGAGAATGTCACTTTATGATGCAAAAGAATTATTGCCTATAATATTATTTCACCGCTATTTGGATTTTATTTTTATTGCTCTGAATCTTATTCAATACCCTAATGTGATGTAACTCAATAGTTCCTTTTAAACTTAATTTAATGGATGTAATCCACATCTGTCCACGTCCCATTGGTTAATTATTGGATGTTATTATTGACATTGTTTTTAATATATATGTCACTTAGTTATAAATGAAATAATTACTGTACCAAAACGGTATACAGAAATAGAAATAATTGTAAATTCATTACTGGTCATGCAGAATAACAGCAAATTCATTACTAGTTTCTAATTAAAAGATTATTATATCTGAACGGCACACAAAAATACTAACAATGTCAAATTCATTATTGTTTGAGAAGAATTAATTCTGCGATTCAGTTTTTTGTCACCAAATGTCGAGAAGTTTATGTGTATTTTAGGTGTGATGTGGCTGATCGCGCGGCAGTGATGCAACTAGCCGAGAAAGTCCGTAGAGAGGTGGGTGAGGTGGACATCCTAGTGAACAACGCGGGCATCATGCCCTGCAAGCCAGTGCTGCAGCAGACAGAGAAGGAGATACGACTGATGATGGACATCAATGTCAATGGCAACCTTTGGGTAAGCGCTAGCGCTGAAAGCCCAAAGATATATGAAAGGAGCGATGAAACAAAAGTTTGTCTAAACATAATGTTCATACATACTACCTCAGAATTTATATAATATCATATTATATAATGTTGTGACAAAGAGAAATTTATTGGGATATATAGTATAGTTCTTCTAAAATCACATATTCAGTCTAGGATTTTCCAGCAAAACTTGTTAAGTATTTTTAATCGAGTTATTTGACATCAGACCGCCACATAGCGAATCTGCATCTCAGTGAGCATTTAAATGGATATTTTCATAAATTAAATAAAAAGGATAGCGTAATTAAAGCAATGGGAAAAAAGAGGACGTCATGTTGTCACTTCTTAAAAACTTCTCGTACCCGTATTAAACTTATTAGCTGCCTCCTTCATTGTTTGGCACAGAAACTTCACAAACTTCGCGTTAACAGCATAACAGGTTATCAGGGACACTGATTTTTAATATTCTTTGCCAGTTCATCCAGGCTTTCCTGCCATCGATGATCGAGCGCAACCACGGGCATATTGTAGCCATATCTTCCATGGCGGGTCTGATGGGCACTCGCAATTTGGTTCCTTACTGCGGCTCCAAATACGCCGTGCGCGGCATCATGGAGGCCCTGGCGGTCGAGCTGAGAGCTGAACCAACAGATACCAGCGGTGTGAGTACGAGTAGAACATAAAAAGTAAAGGAACAGCCTATAAATATCCCACTGTTGGGAAAAGACCTCCAAGGTAGGGCATAGTTAACCACGCGAACCCAATGCGGATGTTGAGTTGATGGGGGAGTTGTTTACATATCTTCGAAGTATTTTTTTGTTATTATTTAGAAAATATGCAGATTCCCTCACGATGCCTTCCTTCACCGCTGAACACATGATAAGTCAGTTCTTTAAAAAATGTTGCCCTTACTTTAGGATAACATTATCCTGTGTTGTAACTGTTGCGTCCCAATATATTTATTGTAATATCTTGTACGTTAGACATAATCTTAATTGTTATCTAAAGAATAGTGACAGACATAAATTAAATACTAAAAATAAGGACAAATTAATTACACCATTGTTTCGTCTAAAAAAAGTAAATAGATCGTTCATAGGGCAAAGTGTGCGCATGTATAATAAAATCCCACAATCGGTATTAAGTCTGCCACTAGATGAATTTAAACGCAAAATTAAAAGCGAACTTATGGCTAAGGCATATTATACCATTGCAGAATATCTTGACAACGCCAATGTGTGGGGTTAATGCTGTTGATACTCACGTAGGCTAAAATTACATACTTGTTCTATTGTAAACTAATCGTTTTAAAAAAGAGCAACTGTTGAGTTTCTTGGTAACTTACGGTGTAAAATTTGTGTTTTAAAATTTCAGTGTCTATGTGAAGAAATATATTTTTGATTTTGATTTTGATTTTGATTTTGTAAGGACGTTTTACAAACATAAATTTGTGCGGTGGAAACACACACCCAGATGCGAAACAACTGTCTGTGGGTCACACAAATAGTTGTCCCGTGTAGGAATCGAACCCACGACCCCCGACACCGAAGCCAATACCTTGGCAACTGCGCCACGGACTCATCAGTCTTAAAATTAACAATTTCAGTGGTGCCGGCACTGGGGATCGAACTCAGGTTGCTCGAGTAAATTGAATTAAAGGCCCGGACACTGAGACATCACCGATCTTAACTGAGTGTATAGGCAAAGTTTGATACATACAAATATTTCTTTTGACTATTTACGCCTCTAGTATACAAAAATTCAAAGTTATAAAAATACGCACAGCAAAACCCGCAACCATAAATTATTCACGCCAAAACATTCAATTCAAGTACTGAGTTAGATTTGGAGAAAAGGTAAAGAATTCTCCTGGTATCTTCTTGTGCATGCTCTCACTAAGATTTCATTAATAAATGAAATCTCTACTAAGATTTCATTCATAAATATGAAATCTTAGGGAATACATATTCGTAAGATGTACATTACTGTAGTATGGCCACGCAACGGCTTCTACTGTTTTTGTTAACCAGAGCTCGTTTTTTCAACGTTTTTCAAGCATGTGCAACCCGTTACGTATTGTAGAGCCATGGGTGGTGATAAACACTTAACATTAGGTGAACCTCGCTTGCATCTAGATTAAAATAACTACTGTTTACTAAATGGATACACGGTACATATACCAAAATAACATTTTTTACAATTTTTGTTTGTCTGTCTGTTTGTTCCGGATTCCACGCGGACGAAGTTATGGGCTCAGCTAGTATCAAATAACAACAATCCACGTATAGGATGACTTACGTGTATATTTAATTTCAGATCCACTTTACAACCGTCTGTCCGTCCATTGTGAACACGGGCCTGTGTCACAAGCCACGCATTCGATTCAAGAAAGCCCTAAAAATCGTAGAGCCCGGTGAAGCTGCCGACATAATCGTCGACTCCGTCCTCAGGAATGTTCTGGAAATCTCCATTCCTACTAGACTTCACAACGCTATTCGGGTCAGTTGTTGTAATGAAATATTAATGATTCTAAAGGTCTCTCGAATTTATCAAATTTTATCTTAAAAATATGTAATAACGACTGTTATGAAACAAAATGCCGTTTAAATGAAATGCACATTGTTGTTTTAGAATTAAAATATGATATACGCAACTAGCCTAGCAATAATGTAATAAATAAAATCAATAAACTAATAGTAATAATTAAATAAGTAACAGAATATAAAGCATAAATGTAAACATCAAATTATCTCTTTTAACAAGGACCGTTAAAAGAGATAATTTGATTATTGATCACTTCGCTTTGTACTTTACTGGAATATTTTTTCTGTTACAGTATTTATATCGGATGATTCCAATCTCAGCAGCATTTGCCCTGAACGATTTAGCAGACTCTGGCGCTGACGCCCACGACTAAGCGCTCCCGCTTCGTGGCGTCTCAGCTGTGACTTAATGACTGAAATGATCATGGTTTAATAAATCAAAGCTACGTATAAACTATTTGGAGGATGTTTACGACCCCATTTATAAATGCACTTCATGGTTTCTATTTGTGTTCTGATATTAAATTCCATCAAAATTAAAGTAGTTTTAAACCTTTATACATTGTAAATTTTAATAATAAAGTTATGATAAAAACATAAATATTTTTTTTTCTACAAATACAGTGATTTTAATAACTTTTGAAACGAGAAAAAAATCTTTTAGTTATTTCTAAAGTCATATTGCAAGTTCTAATGACATTAAGAAAACATGAAAATATGTAAAAACAAACGATGACAAACTGGTGCAGTGAACGTCGATAAATATGTAATTCCTATTAAAAATGTTTCTCCCACTACGTATGATTAGAAGTCCCATGTGAACTTATGCTTGATGTTGCATAAGTCAAAGTCAGCACATACATTCCTTTACAATTTATTATGTTTCAATTTGATAGACATGCTTTTTCACGTTATCCAAATCTATTTTACTCAAGGTTTCAATTGTTCCTTACACCTTTCCTATTCTAATATCTATCACAAGCGATATCCACAAGGAAACATGCATGCCCATGCTAAACCTTCACTTCATGGGAACTATCGTAGCTCTATAAGAAAGGGCGTAGAGGGTAGTGTACCTGCCTCCTGCGCCAGAGGGTGTTGATTCGATCCCCACTAGTGGAAAAATACTGTGCGATGAACATAGTGTTTTTCTAGTGTCTGGGTGTTTATATATGTGTCATATGTATTTATTTACAAAAGAAAACTATATTTAAGTATGTTTATCAGTTTTGAGTACCCATAGTACAGTATGTTTATCACTTTTCTAGTACCCATTGTACAAGCGTTTCTTAGTTTGGGAATAGAGAATGTTGTGTAAAAATGTGTCCTTAAATATTTATTATTATTATATCTGTACAGATAAATAAAATTGGAGTGTCTGTTTGTAATATTAAAATAACCGCTTTTTACTAAATACATATGTATACACGGTATCTATACCAAAATAACATTTTTTATAATTTTTGTCTGTCCGTCTGTCTGTTTGTTCCGACTAATCTCTGAAACGGCTGGACCATAAGGAGCTGATGTCATAAGGAGTAACTTAGGCTACTTTTACTTTAGAAGTTTTGTCTATTTTAAATTGCACGCTGACGAAGTCGCGGGGCACGGCTAGTTATTAAATAATTTTATCATTCACCCCGGTAAGCCAACGAAAAAATTTGAGATATCAAAATAAAATTTTGATTTATTCGAGAAAGTGGCAGAAGAGCTGGCGGTTCACCTGACGTTAAGTGATAACCGCCTACCCATCGACATTTGCAACACCCGTAGGGTTGCAGATGCGTTGCCACTTCGTATAGAGAGGGCCTCGGCTACCACACTCACCAGACGAAACGCAGAAGTGCAACACTTCTACTTCACGCCGGTCTTCTGTGCGGACGTGGTACTAACCCGGACGGACCTGCCCATTCGTGCAACAGCAAACACTGTTGCGTGGCCCTGCCACCGGTAAAACCGCTTTCTAATTTTCCTTTAAATAAAGCGGCAGATAAGTAACGAATCGCTTAAGATTCGCAACTTCGCAATATCGCAATCACTGCGACCCTTGTCTTACACGGTGTTACACGGTCTTACTTGTTTTACAACGGTGCGGTGTTGCAATTGCGTGTATCTTTGAGAATTTGGGCACCGGTTAACTCACTCACAAAACTAAATACAAAAGAACAACGCCGTCTTAGGCCATACCGGGACCCCAGGGCACACAACAATTTTGGGGCCGATGGAAAAAAACATGTTTGTACATCCGGAGACGTACACACATAGTGAGGTCGGAAACGTAGATTTTATCGATAGATAGATAGATTAGGGATACCTAAAATTTTCTAATTTTCCAGAGAGCACACTTGGTGTTCAGTGGAAAATACAACCTGTCAGGCAGTCATCATTATCACTTGGCGTTGTATCATCGACATTTTCCCCCATTACATTAAAAAGATACCTTCGGGGGTGTAAACTTCTGCAGTAGTTCGGTATTTCGTGTATTGTCCCTAATAGATATAACATGGCACTAGCCCCCTGTGACATTATGGTAAAAGCGGTACTGCAGAAAAATAAATACGTTTACTTCGAGGATCTTCATTGAGACGCCTGTACCTCCCTCAAAGAGGGGCTTCAGTCATTCAACAGCATAATCTTCTTCGTTGTTCCAATACAACAAAACCGAATGCCCACTTTAAAACCTAAACAAAATTTATACTCGTGCTTAACAAACTCCGATTTTGCAATCGCCCTAAATCATCAAAATTTACCGATAATTTTTTTTAATTTATAAATGTTGCAACGCAATCGTCATCAGCTTTTCTTCCGACTGAGGCTACAATATGAATATTTCTGATAATTGATAAATGATAAACAATTGATAAGACAATAAATAAGTATATTTTATTTTTTATATTTTGTTTTGCACCCGCGTCAAATTTTCTCTACTCCCAGGATCGACTGGAAGAGGATGCTTATCAGCATTAAGTTTGCCTTTTGTTTAGCCTTAAGTTGAGGTGTAAACAATAAATTTTTAAATAAATAAATAAAATTAATTTTCTTAAGCCGTATAGTAAGTATGACTTTGCATTTGTGAAAATAATTCTAATTCGGTACAGTACACTTGTGAATTACACTCATTATACAAACAAACAAGTTCTCCATCTCTATAATGTTTGTTGATCGAAAGAAGTTCATAGTTCGTTAACACTTATCTCGCCTTATCTCTCATTATCACAACACTTGTGTACATACGTTGTCTGGCGAATCTACGGCTTAGTCGACCGGCGGCTAGTGGGTGTGAACTCAGTGAAATGTGAGTTGTGTTTATTTTCTCTGAAAATACGGTGACAGTTTAATATGATCTGTGATGTATTACCTGCTTTATACTTCCTCCAAAATTTCGCTTAAAGTTTTGAGTTACAAAGGATATGATTCATGTTCACTAGTCTTTTTTTGTCTAAACCAAAATCTTGTTTTCGATGGTAAAAATGTTATAAAAATGAGTTTGATGGTCGGATCCTGAGAATTCTACTGCCTTATTTATAACACTTGTAATTATAAGTTTATGGCTTGGTAAATAGCTTTTAAATTGCTTCCAACTCCAAATAATTCAAGAAGCTGCTTCTGTCGTTGTTACATTTTACACAAAAAAAGTGATGATGAATACTCTACAAATGAAACGATATCAACACACTAGTAACACTATTAAAGCGATCGACACACTTATGAAAATATCTCGCACTCAAGGGTTATCAGTAGAATTATGTTTAGTGATATTTAACGGCTCGAACAGAATTAAAAAGAAACAGCCGTGATTTAATTTGAATTTGGCTAGTTTTATTATGTTTTCACAAGAAACTGTTCTTTATTCTGTTATACGACGTTTTATATACGGAGGTTAAATCAACAGCTAAATAAAAAGTTGCCTAACGCAAAAATCAAGTATCATAAGGCTATTTTAATCAAAATTATAAACATTATGACTTTAATATTACGATAAATGATATCAACTGCGCAAAGTAAAGTAAACAGGTAATCCTAAAGCACAAACACTACAGAAGATAGTTGAAGAATAATAAGTGATATGTTGGCTTAAGGTGACATAATTCTTGAACAGTTTTATTTAAAAACAACTCTAAATGTGAAACTTTTAATTGGGAATCTGTATTTATTATTATTGAATACTCAAACTCTCAAAATTGAATCTTTCTGTGTTTTTATTATTAGTACCTGGAGGACCGAGATTTGCTCGGTTTGTTTTTTGGTAAATCATCTATTTTGGAAATTACATTCAGATACAAAATACTGAGTAATGAAATATGTATAATATTTTTCGATCTTACCGACGTAATAATAAGAAAATATGAACTGGTGGGAATGAAAACTTAACTGAAGATAAAAGCAATGCAAAAAAGCATGCTTTTTAGTCTGCATCACGACGCAAATGAAGATATATCTGTGTATACAGCGTGTAGTTACAGCCGCGACAATAAGTGAACACACATATAGAGGATAACTTTTAAAATTGTGTTAAGCATTTACATTATTTAAACATCAATATTTATCGAGTTCTTAAATTTTACAAAACACACATTTTAAGAACACCCTTACGTATAAAACTGTAACGTAAAGTTCATTTGTAAAGGTCACAAAGCATTTGAATGGGTTGAATGAATTTAAAAGAGATAAAACTGTTAGAAGGAGTGACTTGTAACGCGACGCTGTGGCAACGAATGAAAAAGTCTCTGAATGTATGAATCAGTCAGTTGTAGTTGTATCGGATGTTAAAAAGTTTCTTTTTTTTTTAATTAGTTTGTTTGAAAAAAATATTTTTTTAATTATGGATTTTTTAACATTTTATATTTTTTTATGATTATTGGCAAGTAGCGTTACACGTGTGTTCATTTATTTTCGCGGTTGTAACGAGACGCTGCATATCATTACTGACTACTCTAGACATTTCACTTTTGCGCTAACAGAAGTTCTGTTTTTTAATAACGTTTCCAGGGAACACGACAACTCCCCTCTGCAATTGGTACGCGACTTGCTATGGACTCTATTGCTGGTCAACTATGAAATCCTTCGCGCCATCTTCAGGTTCTTCGTGCCAGTGGAGCCCAAGGACGTTAATGGCGAGGTCATACTGGTATGTACAGTCACACTAACTCAACTCGAAATACACTCTACAGCTAATTTTTAAACTGAAATGTCCAATAGTCTCAGTGTAGCACGGTGTGTCTCAGTTACGAAAACACGCTACCAAGTACAGTTAGCCTCTGAACTACTACGTACACATTGGACCCATAGTTATTCACAATTCATACTTAACGATATAATCTAGAGGAACCTCATTACGAAACGGTGGTAGATTAAAAAAATATGACTATCGATTTATAATGTACGTTTCTTATGTAAAATAAATGATTTTGATTTTTGATTTTTTTCTTGAATCCTAACCAATAAATCTTGTTTTCTGTGGAGACATAATTCACTTATTCACATGGTACAAATACGTGACGAGTTGATGGTGTTGATGGCAGCGCATCGCATCAAGCATATTATAAACTTGCCATGAAGGGGACAACCCGCGTTTTAGCTAATTGGAGGTGTTAAATAAAGGATATGCCATATACCATAGTACTTTAGACCACATTCATGTGGTGCGACAAATTACACAGAAGACTGAGGAGTATAATTTGCCACAATGCTTAGCGTTTGTAGACTATGAGGCAGCCTTCGATTTGATCGACACTTTGGCAGTGCTGCAGTCTCATCAGAGTTCGAAGTGGTTCAAGTGCTTGTATAAAAATGCCACCATTTCGGTCCGAGTAGAGTAGAGTTAGACAAGGAGATGTCATCTGTTCGAAGCTCTTTACCAATGCAATGGAATACCCCTTCAAGCTTCTAGATTGGAAAGGATGTGACATCAGTATCAACGGCGAGTACATCACTCACCTTAATTTTGCCGATGACATCGTAGTCATGGCAAGGTCTTTGGAGGAGCTCAATAGAGTCTCTTAACGGGTGGGCCTGAAAATGAACATAGATAAGACGAAAGTAATGTCAAATGTCCTTGTGACGCCTCACTATGGGCCTCATAAGGAAGCTCGGGGTCGCACAGCGTACTATGGAAAGGGTAATGCTTGGGGTTTCTCTAAGAGATCGAATCAGAAATGACGAGATCCGATGGCCGTTGGGGCAGAAAAGTTTTCAGTGAAGACCACATGACGGCAAGCGCAGCGTAGGAAGGCCTCCCACAAGGTAGACGGACGACCTAGTAAAGATCGCAGGGACGCGTTGGATGTAAGCCGCTACCGCTGAAATCTAAATTGCACGTTTTCGCTACAACCGTATTAATTATATGTCGAATCACAAAGTCCACGCTTTTATATGAGTGACAAAAGCGTTAAAGTGGTGAAGATAATCGGAGTATGAAAATTAACACATTGCGCATCATCGTTGACAAAAAATCCTGTTGAAATATTCCATAAATCATTGAGCCTGTTCGTTGGGGGTATATAAATATAGAAGCGTATACACCACTCCATGAACGAGTTACTTACTATAAGGAGTCTAGAAACTGATTCATCAAAGGACATCGTCCTTTTAAGTACGGTTCATTTTTTTTAATTGCGTGCAGAAATCTTTATATATATATATATATATATATATATATATATATATATATACACAGCATGTCGTTACCATCGCGACAATAAATGACACACATATAGGGGATAACTTTTTAAAGTTGTATTAAACATTTAAATTCTTTAAACATCAATATTTACAGAGTTATTAAATTTTCCAAAACAAAGAAGTTTAGAACACCCTTACCTATAAAAGCGTAACGTAAAGTTCATTTGTAAAAGTCACAAAGCATATGAATGGGTTGAATGAATTTAAAAGAGACAAAACATACTGTTAGAAGGAGAGGCTTGTAATACGACGCTGTGGCGCGAGTTGTATGGGATGTTACAAATTTTGTTTCTTTTTTACTTAATTAGTTTGTTTGAAAATTGTTTTTTTTTTTTTTAATTATGGATTTTGTTTAACATTAAAATTTTTTTATGATTATTGGCAAGTAGCGTTAGACGTGTGTTCATTTATTGTCGCGATGGTAACGACACGCTGTATATATATATATATAATTCTTCTGTACGTGTGTATGTCACTGAATTCCTCCTAAATGGCTGGCCTGAAGACACAAATTTTGATTAAATTTTGTGTGTCTTCAGGTCGATTTTGAATGGTTTAGATTCACTATTCAGCTCACATTTTTTTTTATAACTTGTTTTCGGATTTCAGTCGTTTTTACAGGACAGCTTCTGTCGGGTCCGCTAGCGTTCTATAAATATGTTACGATGTAATTGAAAATAATACATTTCTTGAAAATTGACAATCATGAAAATTCCAATTTCACTTGATTTGACCGCTTTGGATCCTATTATACAAGAAAATTTTATAAATCTATGATCAACGAGAAAATTAATTATCTATGCCTTTGATCCAAAATAAATAATAGTGTAAGAGTTAAATTACTACGTGAATTTAATCGTGATAAGTGCTTATTTTTAAAACATCCGCATTCCGCAAATGGGAAAGATTATTTCTTACCTACAAAATTCTACCCGCAACATCATATCGCGCATTGCAAACCACAACATCCAACATTATCTTTTTTTATCTTGGTAACAGATTAGGAATCCGTTTTGTGTACTCACGGCCTAGATTTACTAATCTGCATAATTAATAAATGTAAGTAATAAGAAATGTTAAAAATATTTCTATTTAGTAAGAGGTCCATCATAACATAATATAGGGGGCGTAGCAGACTGTTTCCACTTAGCTACACTCATAACATAAGTATACAGGCTGTACAGTCATAATTAATCAGAGTTTTATCGGACGTTATTCAGTAAGTGTATAGAAAACTGATACCATTTTAGAGTTCCGCACCCAAAGAGTAAAACAAAGGGTAAAGGATAAAGGGTAGTCCCCCTATTACTAAGTCTCCGCTGTCTGTATGTTTGTCTGCCAGACTGTTTGACTGTCTCTCTGTCTGTCACCAGGCTATACTCATGAACCTTTAACAGATGATATATTTCTGTTGCAGCTATAACAATAAATATTTATAAACAGAATAAAAAATATTTAAGTGGGGCTCCCACACAACAGACATGTTTTATAGATAATGGTACGGAACCCATCGTGCGAGGGTCCGACTCACACTTGGCCGGTTCTTTCAGTGTGGTCAAAATAGCGCATAACACTTTCAGATCACGGGCACTGGGCACGGAATGGGCCGTGAGATGGCGCTGCGGTTTGGTCGGCTAGGGGCGAAGGTGGTCTGCGTGGATGTCAACCCAAAAAGCAACGAGGAGACCCACAATATGATACTGTCACACAAGGGAAAAGCCTACAAATATGTGTGAGTAATTACAGGGCCGGATTTAGAGGTCGGGTGGCCTCGGGGCAACAAAGGTGTGGAGGCTTTCCGATCAGTCGACTTTTCCAATAACTTCCTGTTTCTGAAACACTGATCATCGTAGAAATTAACTAATCAGCTATCAAATGGCTTGACAAATGTCATTTGAGTTGTCAAAAGGACTGGTAATCTCAGAATGATCAATTCAAAGATCAGAATGACCAATTCAAAGATCAGATTGATCAATTTAAAAGAGTTTAACCATATTTATGGCGAGATGGCACAACAAACAAACAAGAATACGGTGGTAATCTGATGCTAATTGAAAATTCTGTATACTTTTTATGGAGGTTCTATACTTTTTATATTAAGTGAATGCATTAAATAACTGATTTCAAAACTGTAATTTTAATATTATCAAAATTCTATTATAACTTTGGGAAATCTATACAGAGCTGTTTCAATAATATTTTTCATAATAATTACATGGCGAGGATATAAATCTATCAAGAATGAAATGAAGTGGCTTGAAACGCCAGAATTGAGTGTTATTTATTTAAACGAAGCCACGCTATTTATTATAAAATGCGTCTCGTCGCTTATTATCTTTTTAACTTTTTAAACAAAATCATGTTCTTTATAAAGCGTTCGCGTGATATAATAGTTCATTATTCCATAAGGAATTATTATATCACACCAACGCTCTGGGAAAATAAAACGAAGAATCATCATCATCATCAATTCAGGCTGTATAAGTACCCTGCTGAACATAGTTCTCTTCCACAGTCGGGCTGTATCACTTGGGTGGGGGATGAGGGGGGGCTGTTATGCCTAGCGAGCGAATTGGCAACCGCAGTTTTTTTTTCAAGACATCTAGCACTCAGGTCAATATCGCAGCGTGTCAATGTCAATTTCAATGACAATGTCACTGTTTGTCTTCTGACAGTCGGTTGTCCCGCCATCTATCGCATGCCTTTACATGCTAGTGGCATATCCCTCAATCAAAGAGGTAAATCAAAAGCTAAATAATTCTAGAACAATAATAATTTTCACACCAGGTGTGACGTAACGGATCGCGCGGCTGTCATGCAGCTGGCTGAGAGAGTCCGCAAAGAGGTGGGGGAGGTGGACATCATAGTGAACAACGCGGGCATCATGCCCTGCAAGCCAGTGCTGCAGCAGACAGAGAAGGAGATACGACTGATGATGGACATCAACGTCAACGCTAATATTTGGGTGAGAGTTGATAAAGGACATAAATGATGGACATCAACGTCAACGCTAATATTTGGGTGAGAGTCGATAAAGGACATAAAGTAAAGTAACAGCCTATTAATGTCCCACTGCTGGGCAAAGGCCTCCCCCGTGAAGAGGGTATCAGGGCATAGTCCACCACGCGAATCCACTGCGGATTGGCGGACTTCACATATTTTTCGAAACATTTTTTTTTATTGTTTCGAAAATATGTAGGTTTCCTCACGATGTCTTTTCTTCACCGCCGAGCACGTGATAATTCAGCGCTTAAAATTAACAATTTCATTGGTGCTGACACCGGGGATCGAACTCATGTTGCTCGAGTAAATGTAATTAAAGGCGAGCGCCCGTACACTGAGCCTTGATAGCTCAGTGTCCGGGCGCTGTGATGTCGATGTGATAAAGGATATGGAGCACGAAAAAATTAATTTGCTCTGCTGCAACAGTCTTCACTGTTGCCGAATGGGCAGGTTTGTCTGGGGAAGTGCCACCACCACTTGAAATACCAACGTAAAGTGGAATTGCTATACTACTACGTTTTGGTTTGGTGTGTGAGGTAACAAAAAGATAATAAAAAATTAAATGGAAACGCATCTGCAATCGCACGGGTGATGCAAATTTCAATGGGCGGCGGTTATTACTTAACTGCAGGTGAAACGCCAGTTCGTTTGCTTTATTATTACATAAAGAAACTTATACTATTTACAAAATAGTATTTCAAATAATCTGATAGTGTCATTCTTTATCTTGTACATCAATCCCGAACAGATCATTGATTTTCCATTTCCAATACTCTTCATCAGTTCATCCAGGCATTCCTCCCAGCTATGATTGAGCGTAACCACGGCCACATTGTGGCCATGTCTTCGATGGCCGGTCTGATGGGAATCCGAAACTTAGTTCCGTACTGCGGCTCTAAGTACGCAGTACGAGGTATTATGGAGGCACTGGCCGTCGAACTACGAGGGGACCCCAGGGATACCAGCGGAGTAAGTAGTTAGTCATTGATAATAATATAATATTAGTGTCTCAGCTAATCATATTTTGATTTACTTTGACATGATGTCTGATTCCGTAAAATATCTGGTATAATCACCAGATATTTTACGGAAAACACCAAGTTACTTCAAGTCTATATACAGCGTGTCGTTACCATCGCGACAATAAGTGAACACGCGCCTAACGCTACTTGCCAATAATCATAAAAAAATGTTAACGTTAAACAAAATCCATAATTTAAAAAAAATATTTTTCAAACAAACTAATTAAGTAAAAAAGAAACAAAATTTTTAACATCCTATACAACTCGCGCCACAGCGTCGCATTACAAGCCTCTCCTTCTAACAGTATGTTTTGTCTCTTTTAAATTCATTCAAGCTGTACGGCTCTGGAACTCGCTACCCATCTCAATCAGAAATTGTCTGACTAAAGAGAGTTTTAAACGTGCTGTCTTTAAATTTTATTTAGATAATCGACAATGTTGAACACTGACTTGCTTGAATTTCCACTTCTTGACATTATTCTAAAATATCTAATACTATATGGGTATGTATACATTTGTGTATGTATATTTGTATTATATATATATGTATATGTGTATATATATGTATGTATATATATATATGTAGTAGCTATATATATATATATTAGTATATGTGTATATTTATGTAATATGTATGTAATATTTTATATATTATCATATTCTTTACTATCTCATCTGGCTCTTTCGCACCTCCTTATTCTCTCTGCTTATTTGTCGGTTGACTGGTAGAGAACACCTAATGGTGTTAAGTCCGCCATTGTACGTTATTGTGCATAAAGTTTTTAAATAAATAAATAAATAAATAAACCCATTCATGTGTTTTGTGACCTTTACAAATGAACTTTACGTTACGCTTTTATAGGTAAGGGTGTTCTAAAATTCTTTGTTTTGGAAATTTTTATAACTCTGTAAATATTGATGTTTAAAGAATTTAAATGTTTAATACAACTTTAAAAAGTTATCCCCTATATGTGTCTTCATTTATTGTCGCGATTGGTAACGACACGCTGTATATACAGTCATAGTCATACTTTTCCATCAAATAACACCTTGTTTAAGTCCAGTACGCGCATGCAGATTCTTTACTTTCGTTAAAATTGATTCGGAACAAATTCCTCTTTCCAGATTAACTTAACAACCGTCTGTCCGTACATGGTGAACACAGGATTGTGCAAAAGGCCACGCGTGCGGTTCCAGAAAATCATGAGTGTTGTGGAAACGGAAGAAGCAGCCGACATCATCGTGGACGCGGTGCTCAGGAACGTTATTGAGATAACGGTTCCGACGAGGCTTCATTATATGAATCGGGTTAGCTGAAACTTCGTAAACCACTTACATATAGAGCCCGTGGAATATTCATTGTATAGTCTGTTCGATACGAATGATCTTTATTATTTCAGGATATTTCGCGACACATTTATACACAACGATTTCTATTCCCAAGCAATGCAACGCCTTTACTATGGGTACTAGATAACTAATAAACATACTTAAAAATACTTTTCTTTTGTAAATAAATACATATTATAAATATTTAAACACCCAGACACTGGAAAAACACTATGTTCATCAAACAATATTTTACCAGTAGTGGGATCGAACCCACACCCTCTGGCGCAGTAGGCAGGGTCACGACCCACTACCCAGGTCATTTAATAGCATTTTATATAAAACAATAAAGCTATAAACCCTTTACCACCACTAATTCTAATAATACAAGGATTGTTCGATATTTATCCCAAAAATATTCGTGTTTATATATCGATGATGTATTTATTAACGAAATCAACGAACAAAGAAGAACATCTTCAAGTTATCTGGTACACATAATATGTATTGTAGCTGTGGCCGACACTAGATTAAGTTGTGTAATCAATGTTTAATTGTTCATTTGTTGAATTTAGCAGTGTACCGGCAGTTGAGCAATTTCTAGATTAATAAAGTCAGCAATGGAGTACGGAGACGTACTGTCCCTACCATTTGCATCTCCCTTCACACGTTTTGCACAAATGGCCTGCCCTCGTCCGGGGAAGTACCACGGCCACAGAAGACCGTCGTGATGTTGAATTGTTATACTTTTGCGTTTCGTTTGGTGAGTGAGGTAACTAGAGCTCGTTTTATTAAAAGGTGGCAACGCATTTGCAACCCTACGGGTGTTGCAAATGACAGTGGGCGGCGGTTATCATTTAACGTCAGTTGATCCGGCAATTCGCTTGCCATCTTATTACATAAAAAACCGGCCAAGTGCGAGTCGGACTCGCGCACGAAGGGTTCCGTACCAACCATAAAAACGGCAAAAATCATGTTGTATGGGAGCCCCGCTCAAATATTTTTTATTCTTTTTTAGTATTTGTTGTTATAGCAACAGAAACACATCATCAATGAAATTTTAATTAAAACCTGGTGACAGACGGACAGACAGACAGACAGTCTTAGTAATAGGCCCCCGTTTTACCCTTTGGACACGGAACGCTAAAAAAACTTCTACTGTGAAGTAGAAGTAATACACATCTGAGCACTTCTGAGACACAGTAATACACATCTGAGACCTCATCTCCAAGCCCTCTGGTACTGCCGCGGCCTATAGATGTCTATAAGCTGCGGCATTCACTCATCAGATAAAGCCAGCTTAGACTGATGAGTGACAAATTGCTGGCTAGACTCATTTTCACATAGAAAAATCTCGTCTGTCTTTCTCTTATTCCAGTACGTTTACCGGATGGTCCCGTTCCAGGCTGCCGCTGCCCTCAATGACTTCTGCGACGCCGGCGTGGACGCTCACGACTGATCATTCGTAAATTTTGTAAATTGTTCACGTTTTTATTAAAAAACTAGAAATTCCACATTGTAATGTCTTTTCATAACAATTTTAAATATATATCTAATTAACACGAACGACATGTTAGTGAATTAACCATAACCATGAACGTTGCAAAGTTTTCAAAACATTGAGAATTTAAGTTAAAATAAGCGTAAAATAGTTCTTCTTAATCATATGCTTCTTCGTTTTTATCTCCTTACATGTACTCTATCGTTGAATTTAAATACTTTAATTAACCTACATCAATTAAAGCTGTAAGAAAGCAAAGTTTTTGTGCTAAATTCAGGACACCTAATAAATTCTAATTAATATTTTGACAATCACATGGACCTAGAAAATTGTTAAAATGAACAGTTTACTCGACATTTGCTTTATAATTTATAATGCAAACAACATAAGTACTTAGGTGAGACTAGAATAATGCATTGAAAAATTGATTAAGCGTATTTTTAACAATCACATTTATCATAAAGTCAGTCATATCATTGTCAGCATATACTTAAGTAAAAGACGGTAGATTATTTTGTGTTTAAAGTTTTGAGGAAAGCGATAGACTGCCGCTTCGATGGTAGGCATTGACCGAAGGCTTCCAGCAAAAGAGGCTCCTGCGACACCGCCTGCCTGTAACATTAGCAACGCAATAAATTTTGAATCGTCGCTAAGTTTCTGAAAAGAACCTATTTGTTATTAGACAATCTATTGAGACTAGGGTTGCCAACTATACTTTATAATAAACTATTTTACTTTATTTTTGTAAAGATACTTTATAATTTTACATAAAAATGTGAAAACACTCTATTTTGAAATATTTACTGTGATGCATGAAATAAAACAATTACAATGTATGTACTTTTATCGGATAGGTGAAAACAGAACGCTTTCAAATTAGAAGATTTTGCTGTTAATTATATTTTATGATTTATCAAAAACATTTTTCCTAAAAATACTTTTTTCTTCCACATACTTTATTTTTCTCTACTTGAAATCTGAGATACTTTATTTTTCTCAAAAACAGTTGCATCTCCATAATCGCATACATGATGAAATAAATAAAGTATCACAAACCGATAGTCGTCTAGAGACACTTTCCCGTCTTTGTCTACATCAAGCTTCTTGAGCACCAGTTCGACCAGATCCCTTACGCCTTCGTCAGGATCCTCATCGCCCGGCTGCTTCAAAAGCGAATTTCTGTGAACTACCATTTTATAAGAGACCCTGAAACTATATTACAGAAGTTTAACGTTAAATAACTAAGCTAATGTTTCACACTTTATCCTAAATTTGTATTCATTGTAATGAGTGTGCTACACATAAATCAATTCAAATCAAATCATTTATTCATCGAAACAAAAAATATACATTTCATTTAGAATAGTCATTTTTTAAATCTACCACAGTTTCGTTATGTGGTTCCTCTAATTATCGCATAATCGTATACTATTGTTAATAATGATTAACATAATAATATATGAAGCTCGCTTTTAATTAAATATACTCGAGGAACCCGAGTTCAAATCCCGGTGGCGACACCAATGACATTGTAAATTGCATTTTAAGGTGCTGATTTTACACGTGCTCAGCGGTGAAGGAAAACATCGCGAGGAAATCTCCGTGTTATAGAAATAATCTTTATATATAAAAATTTTGCTTCATATGTTTATGTACACAATGCTCAAAAAATAGCCGAGCTATTGATTTGATATTTGTTCATAACATAGCCGTTGAACAGGAGAATGTTTTTATATACTTTCTAATCCGGGCTGTATTTCTGAAGAAACAGCTGACAAAAGGTGTCACCAGCCGCAGTTATATATAGGGCGTTAATCAATAAAAAAAATAGTGTATCGTGTGGTTTCGGACCCCAACAGACCTCACTTATTTAAATTATTACGAACCTAAAAATTTGCCATACCTTCACGAACTGAGACCTGTATATATTTTCATATGTATATATTTAAGCAAACAAATCATCGGAGAGCAACTAACCGGCTATTTAAGTCCGTATTCATTGATGAAGCCGCAACTTTAAAGCAAGTTATTCAATATTACAAGTCTTACAAAAAAGTTGTTTAATATCACAATATCAAAATGGTGTTACAACAGTTTTGAATGGAATTGACAGCGATTCAAAAGAAATATCCGTTTACATCTTTAGCAGAATTTGTTTTTCATTGTATCTCAAAAACTTAAAAACAACGTCAAAACTAGTAACATACAATGTCCGAGAAAGTCCGGGTTTGCAAAACCTGAGGATGAACCTTGGGACAATACAAAAAATATATTTCAATTTTTGAACAGTTATCAGAACAGAACAGAACAGAAGTATCAGCTATATTTAATTTTAAAGCTATTCTTAAATATTTACACATGTTGTTAGTGGCGGTAGAGATCTGAAACTGACACGTAATACTCACTTCAGCAGTACAAACATTTCGTCTCTTGTTATGTAGCCGTCGGAGTTCAAGTCGTAAACGGCGAAGCAGTGGGCCCTCCTCTCTTCGTCCGTTCCTCTCAGCAGCCTGCTCAGACCTCGGACCCACGCTTCGAACTTAATTGCCCCCTCGCCCCCGCCCGCGCCCCTCTCCCACGTGGCCCACACCCGCTCCAATACCGCCTCCTCCGTGACCAGATCGAAGGTGCTGTGCATCACATCCCGGAACGTAGACTGATCTATGCCCTGGATAAGACGGGAAAGTGTCTGGTCACGTCTTGTCATGTGGAAAAAGCCCCTTTTTAGTGTTTAGAGTAGCAACGTGATATTCAAACAGCAAACCGCAGTTCAGTGACATAAATACATACAGAAGAATTTTATATAATTATAAATACAAAGATATTGTTATGTTTTTTTCTGTGGTCTGTGACCTTCAATGTGCTTCAGTTTTTCATTTTCATCAATTGTTCATCGTAGTTGTTGACCCAGTTGAAGACCTGAAGTGTATAAATCCTGGCCCAAGCGAAAGTTGACATAGAAAAAAAGGTACTGATGAGTAGGTATTTGGTGGACCAGTGCAAGTATTAGACACTACGGCTACTTAATATCTGGTCAGACGATTTAGGCAGATCTGTAATCGCAGATCTGTATGGCAGGTCTATGTGCTATCCACAATCGCAAAAGAAAAGAGAGACTGATCAATGACTCTAGACCTTGCTGATTCAGGACTAGGCGCAGGCTAGACCTTATACTTCACGACAGACGGTCGCTAAATTACAGAAGATGCTATTGTAATGTCTCCGACACCCTTCATACTCCCCTGGCCTTGCTCCAACGGATTGCCACTTTTTTCGCAACTTCGACAATTTCTTGATAGAAATAAAGTCAATTCCAAAGGGGCAGTTCAAAGCTCCTATAAACATTTTATTATTTCTGGTTCCGGCTCTCATAATACTTTAAAGAATGGACTCAATGTACTAACTACATCATGGCGAAAGTGAAATGGCGAAAGATTTTCGTGAAACGTTTTCGGTTAAGACTATTGATAATATAATTAAACTGTCCCAGCAAGTTGAAAGTTAGTCTCGATTTATTGCAAAAGTTTAAATTGAACAGTAAATACAGTCAACTGTAACGATGCAATTGCGACAAATTGCCAAAGATTAAAATACAAACAACATTAGTTCAATTCCACCGTACAAGACAGTACAGAATTAATGAATCAAATAAATCTTCAAACTACATTTGTTGAGAATTAATGTCTTTGGTTGCAATAAATACAATGAGTAAACGTTCCGGTAACTATGTGATAGTATCTTCAAAAGTTACGAGGTCAGTTTATTTTAATCGCAACATGTCTATCGGTAACCGGAGCTTTACTTTCCAATATTGTCGTGTTGCGTGCGTACTCATCGTGTAATCACAAGGCCCAAGGTTAACTACTTAAGCCCAACTTTTTCCTAACGACCGCCGTAGAGATTGAAACCGCGAAATCGCTCTGTTTCCACCAATGAATTAGTTTAATGGGCTGATTCGTAATCTTAGGGCGAACAAAAGTTTCACGTCTAACACAGAAATGTCGCACTATACAAAACTAAAATAATTATACTGTATGTACTACTGAGTAATTCAAAATAAGACATATCTAGATATTTCAGCATCATCCTCCTGCCCTTAATCCACCTCGTTGGGGTGAACACAACATGTGACTGTTTAATTCGTTTTGGCTATGTTTTTTTTTTTAAGACTGGCCGCCTGCCTGACGTCAACCCCATTCGGGAATATATATATGGCCGATGGGGGAACATATATAGGGGGGAACATATACAGTGGGGAACATATATAGGGGGGAACATATATTGGAACAATTGGGGAACATATAATATAATATCACACAAATAATTGTCTCGTGTGCAAATCGAACCCACGACCCCAAGCGCCGAAGCCAATAGCTTAGACAACGAGCCACCGAGTTATCAATCTAGATATTTCTTAACGAAATAAATTAAACGATGACTAAAGATCCTAAAAAGAGTCCATAAAATTCATCTATTAGTAAGTAGTATTAGTAAGTATTGGATGGGGCATAAAATAATTGTTTTATGTTCCGATGGTATTCGACAGCTGCGTACTATCGTAGCACAGTTCTCCGTAACTTGCTACACGCATCGCTACGTATTGCTCGTAACAGAATCGACATTTGCATGAAACATAAAATTAAGCGGCTTAAATCTATGTTGTATAGCACATTTATAATATTATCTCGTATCTCTCACAATACGCTCATATCTTCCTCCGACTTTACGGTTTGTTGTTTTAGAGTTTTGTAAAGAGAATAAATTCATACAGGTAATGGAATTCTAACAAGTCGGAATAATGTTAAATTTTACAATATAGCCAAAGTTATATTTTAAGGCAAAAATAGGCTTATTTATCATATCGAAACAAATAATTTTGACACGGATCTAATTTCATCTTATGTATGTACAGTAATACAAATTGTATTAAAATATATTAAATCTACAATGCATGGTGGGACACACAGCAGGTACTTCTAGGTAAGTACTGCGCATCACAGAGGACGTACATATAAAGTAAGCTCAACCTCTTAAATGTTGGCAACACTATTCAGGATTTTCTAGTGGAGAGATATACTGAGGTCACTTACCATAAGGTGCTTCACTACTATTTCAACACTCACATCACTTTATCTCACAAAATTATCCAATTAATAACTGTCCGAACATAACTTAACGCGAAAGGTAATGCAACTTACGTCAACTTTAGCTGGAGGCTGACCGATGCCAGAGGTCGGGATCGCCGATTGGGCGCTGGTCACCAGTTTTCTGTACATTGTGTACAAAGCTTCCAATTCGTTTCTGAAAATAAAACATCTGTCGTGCTCTTTCAAAGGGCCTTCCACGTGTTGAGATATTGTAGGTGACCGGGTTTATACGAAATTCCTTCAAGCTAAAGAAGAATAAATATTGTATATTAAGATCTCGTTAGTATTTATTTAAAAAATGGCTGAAGTTTAAATCGATTCCCCGACACGGCCACAATTCAAAATATGTAAAAAAAAATTTTTGTCCATTCATAGTACGTAAACTTAAGATTTTTAATGAAGAAACGATCTTGGTTTAATACAAGTTATTGATTAAGGAACCACAACGAACTTTTTTTAATATTTTAATGTAAAAGCAAGCTAATCAATATTTCCTGAAACAGTGCGATAACAAGTGGAGTTTTGTGAATAATAAAACTATTTAACTCAAAAATTCCCATTGAAAAATTTCACCCAAAACTACGTATTCCTCTTTCGAACTCACTTGCTAAAATGGGTACTCTTGTAAAGTGAATCGAGGGTTTTCTCCTTTAGTTTCCTATACGGCATGGCTGTTTGCTGTTGGCGAAGCGTCTAACCCGAGGGTGACTCCGACTTCAACTGTTGAGCCAGGGTGAGCAACGGGCGGGTGTAAACACGCACGGCGTCATGAACGCAACAACATCGATCAAAACTATTCGTGACAATGCGAATAATCTAATAGTAATATTCCGTCTACCGTCTACTGAACGCCAATTGCTAAACTAGTTTGTTGTGAATCAATATGGGTCGTTCTATAAAGTCACGTTTCATAGAATACGTGAAACATATTTTGTTTATTTACTTACGCAAAGAAATAGGGGTACAAACAATATTCTGAACTACTTATTCAAATGTAACACTTTCGATTGTACTATAAATTACTGTTAATTTTATTTACTTTACTAATTACGATGACGACTGAAACTGAAAAAAGAAATAAATTAATGTAATAGATAAAAAACATATTATGTACAAAATATTGCAAGAAAGCTATTTTAAAATGTTGCAATTAATTGTATACATCAGTAGGAGCCTAAATCACTTTCCTTACTTTTTTATGGAAAAAAGGGGTCAAACGGCCAGGAGGGTTAGCTGATGGAAAGTGATAACCGCCGCCAAAGAACATCTTCAAATGCGTTACATGGCCTTAACTAACTTCAAATATTTACCTTACTTCAAATGTGTATGCACTTGACTACAATTGAATGTTGTTCACGTTTGTCCAAAGAATAAGACTTAATATATGTCAAGTCCTACTTGCTGAACTTGGAGTTCTTCAGAAGTTGCTCTACGGTCCTCTGCTGAAGCTTGTTCGTGGGCACAACTGGTCTTAGGCGGGGCTTCCTGGGCGGTGAGGGGGCTGGGGCAGCGCGTCTTTCCGCCGCAGCCCGCCCAGCGCTCAGGAAGAGGTGGACCCCCCGTAGAGCGATGGCGCTCGCCGCCATGCTCAACTGCTGCTTCGGGTGCTGTTTCCTGTTTGCCGCCATCTGGTTCCACCTTCAAAGTTCGCAGTAATAGGACTAAGTGTTGTTTGAGAACAGATCCATCGTCACACAAATATTATATATCACGCGGCCGACGCTATGCAATCCTTTCGGAACGGAAATAGATTCGTTTAACAGTAAAATACGACCTCACAGAAGACCGGCGAGAAGTGGTGGTGTCATACTTCTGCGTCAGATGAAAAAGCCTATGTTTTAATTTACCGTCTTAGCTATCATGCCACGCACGTGTATGAAGTTCAAACTTTCGTCAACCGAATAAATGTCTGCATTATGTAATTTTATAAAAATGTGAATAGATCCAAAGAGCAGTTCCCTTATCAAAAAATACTTGTCGTCAGCGATTAAAATACACTTACTTTCTTCTGATGCAGGGTGCAGGGATTTTCTTAAAAAGTCTTTTCCTAAACTTTGGATGGTCACTTGAGTCTAAAGCCAAAGCAGTTGGGACGAAATTGACGAGTACACACCCAGTTTTCAAAGCTCTTCAGAATTGGTAATAATAGTAGTGGTGCCACATGCTTTCCTGTTTTTTATAAAGTAGGTGTCGAATGAACCTCGAGCTCATACAATAGAGCTAAGGTTTAAACAAAAATGTGCCGCTGAGTTTCTTACGCCGGTTCTTATCAGTTCAGTGGCTTTCCTTCCGAACCAGTGGTAGAGTTTTTTGACTATCAATAAGTAAGTGTATGCTTCTATATTGAATAAAGATCTTTGACTTTGACTTTTACCCTGGCCGCCGTAAAGGTGACTCAATGGGTCTATTGGGTGCGTGAATGATCGAGGTGAGACCTGGCTACCTATAGGCATAACGGAACTGGAAAAGGCTTCCCAGGAGCGTGCTCATTGTACGCGTACGCGCACGCAGTACGCGTCGGTGCATTCCGAAGGTGACCCAGGTGACCCTCCCAACGTACCGAAAGTGACCACCGAAGGGATATTACTAGGTAAGAACCCCCCAAGACGGTATCTTACTAAGATTAGTCCCCGACACCAAAAAGAGGAAACGGAAAAAAAACTGAAATAATATAACATGATTACACCTATGTTACATTTTCAAAAAATTAAGCTCGAATATCTCTAAGAGCTCGAGAATAGAATAATGGAAATGTGAACTAAACATTGACTTAAGTGGCTTATGCCAGAAAAGCAAGACAAAACACAAAATATGCCTAAAGCAACGATTAGTTGTTGATATTTTAGAAAAATAACATGAATCATGCTTGAACTAACATTTTACGTTTCCAATAAACTACCTCCTTAATATACTTGTACATTATTATTAACAATTAGACCATAGGGAGTAAACAGCTGGTGGCGCGTGGTACGTACCATGGGAATTGGGTTGAATCGACACCTAGATCAAATTATGCGATTATGTAGAACACATAATGTTCTACGTGAAAGTTTGGCACTTCTTATCCACTTTAATCACAGCTTAGTTTCGAACTACACGATTTCTGTTTGAAAATCTCGAACAATTAGTTGGCGCTGACTGTAAGTAAAATTGGGGATCTAAAATCTATAGATCACGGCTTTTAACATGAAAAAGTAAAACAAAAATAGCAATGAGTTTTTCATTTTTCAGAATTCTTGATTTATAAAACCACTATCTTACAACCGTGCCCGAGGAAATTATAGCGACTACTATCTCCTACCCAGGTTGCTTGAGTATATTGAAATAAGGGCGAGCACCCAGACACTGACGGTGGCAGCCTCGACTGTTGCACGAATATACAGGCTCGTCCGGATAAGTACCACGACCTCACAGAAAACCAGCGTAAAATTGAAGTATAAATCTTTCGCGTCTGGTGAGTGAGGTGGCCGGAGCCCAATTTTCAAAAGGTTGTCAACGCATCTGGAACCCTCGAGTGTGGCAGATGTCCATTGGCCCCGGTATTCACTTAACATCAGGTGAACCGTCTGCTCGCTTAGCAACTTTTCACATAAAAAAAACTGAGCTAACTGACTTAATGACTTTGTTATACCGTACTTAAAAAATGCAATTGCCAGTTGATTTTGCAGTTGAAATGTGATGACGCTACTAATGACGTCGTTTAAACTTTCATAATTATGTGTTTCACTTCATATTCTATAACACTTTCATATTTCATATGGCGTTGGGCCACAATAGTTTTATGGTGCTAAAGAGTGCGTGCACTCATCCTGAAATATACACAACCTTACAGAAGATAGTCGTGTACGAAGTAGACTTATAAATAAACTTGAGTGGTGGTAATCGTTTAACATCAAGTGAACCGCCTGTTCGCTTGGAATATTTTCACTAAAAATTGTTGGTGCGTCGAGTAAATTTTTTCCCTGTGAAGTGCACAATGTTATCATATATTATTGCACGTGAATAAGAAACATAGACCACATGTAGATGGAGTGACGACCTGTGCAAATGAGTGGATAGATGCAGGTGGCTCAGGATCGTACTTCGTGGCAGTCTATGGGGGAGGCCTATGTTCAGTGGACTCAAACAGGCTGAAATGATGATGATGATGATGAGTAAGAAAGATAAAAACATGATGGCATAGTGATCCATATAATAGCCGTGAATGGTCATTACCCTACAAATAGAGCATTCTATGCAAACAAGTGCTTAGACGGTAAAGATAAAATGAGAGAATCATGTAACATGTGCATGCCAAAACAAATTTACATATTGAGCTCCATATTAACCTGTTTACGAACGTATGTCAGTCTCGTGGGGGAAAATAGTGGCGTGTACATAAATGTGTTCTCATTTATTTTAAGACATAATATGACTAACATATGACTATCATTTTGTAAACAGTAAATGGTTGGTAACTATACTGAGATAAATGTAACTAAACCCATTTTCTCATATTAAAATGTAAATAACGTAGGATATTAGAAACCCGTTGAGGTGTACGATACAATGCTGTTAAATCGATGCTCTTTGGCCGCTCATAATTCTTGCAGTGTTTTACGTCATCACGTAAGTTGCCAGAAACTTCCATTTAAGTTCTTTCGTAACAACGAAATGACTGCTTAGTTAAGTAGTAATAATTCGGTGGTCAATTTTAGAGATTCTTAAGTACATTATTGATTTAAAATCGTGGGTTAAAAATATCGATTCCTTAGATTTAACAAGGAGAAATCAAACTTATTGTTTCCGTTATTGACGCAACTTTAAACCACCTAGTATTAATAACTAAATAAATAATACAGCGAAAGTAAACATATTTTCTGTAAATGTTAATTTCCTTTTCGTATCTTTTTAGGAACAAACTCATTAAAACTAAGACACACAAAAACACTGTAAATATCATGTTTTACAACTTTAACGAGCCTGAAAATGGTCATTTAGCTCCCCTGGAACAGACCTCAATAAAAGTAAATAACACAATTATTGATAAGTACTTCTTTGATATATATTGTTAAACATTGTGTAGCTTTACTCTTTACTTACTACATCTCGGTGATAACCTACCCCTAAAAAGCCAGTGGAGACTAAAGCCTATCAAAAGACTGATGAACAGCTTACCAAAGTCTACTGACTAACAGCGAAAACATGAATTATGTTAAATTATGTTTAACATGAATTATGTTTTCGCTACAAGCACTAGACATATAAAACATTCGTGAGTCTTAAAGATTACACGCATAAATGTCAAAACCATGCAGAAGCGTAAAACAAGGTGCAGTATTACGATTGGGCTGTAACCAAGTCATGCAATTGTAACGTGTCTAAAGAACTCAACTACGCGATATCAACGACCCCGCCGATTCCAGTCGAGATTAGAGGGAAACAACAATATATCACTTACTCCACGCGATATTTATGCCCGTATCACCCTCAATTTACTCCACACGTCCACGATAAGTACTTTTGGTGGCCCGTTCGTGCCTTTAAGGCGGGCGCTTACTGACTCCAAACCGCGCTCGTTGCTTGGCTACAAATTTCGGCGGTATTGAGTTTTCCCCCCGTGTCACCGCTTCGGGCTAGGTCGAACGTGTATCGAATTAAGTTCAAAGCAGATGAACCTGTTATTTTTCGGTCACCTTTAAAAATGATTGCATATAACTTTTTCAGGTGTTTCCGCCGCTCCCAATTCCCAAAGTGCTGGGTCACCTAAATCAATGGATAGGAGTGTTACTTTTAGTAGTGTAATGTTGTTTGTTTGCGCCGGATCTTATATCTCGAAACATTTCTATCAAACACTGTCATTTGACCCATACTATTTCTATTTCTATTTCACAGAAAATGTTATGTAATAAAAATTGTTTAAACCTGGTGCATCAAAATATTCAAGGTTTTCAAGGTAAAGATTTAGAAATTGACTTGTTTTTAAATAGCAATGATGTTGATATTTTATGTATTACTGAACATTGGTTAAAAAATAATACCTTTATGTTTAACTTCAGTAGACACCAGGTTGTTAGTTCTTTCAATAGAGAAAAAGTGTTACGTGGTGGCTCTTTAATATTATTAAATAGATATTTGTCATATAAGGAGCGTAAGGATATTGTGAGCCTCTCTGTTGAGAGAACTATAGAAATGGCTTGTGTTGAGCTTGAGCATCTCATTGTTGTTAGTGTTTACAGACCGCCCTGTGCCTTGTATGAACGTTTTGAAAAAATCATGGAGGAAGTTTTACATAAACTTCATAAACAGAATAAATCTGTCGTCATATGCGGAGACTTTAATATTAATCTCCTAGAAGCTTCTTCCATGAGGATAAGATTCGGCTCATTGTTAAAATCATTTAATCTTTTCAACTTGTTTTTTGAGCCTACAAGAATAACAGAGTCAAGTGCAACATGTATAGATAACATTTTTTACAGATGTCAAACCATTGCACAGACTAATAATACATAAATTAAGTTCTGACCATTTAGGGCAGTTTGTCACATTGCCTCTGCACTGTAAAATCCAAGATACTAGGAAAGCTGTGTTTGTTCCGATAAATAAATATCGCAAGGAGAAGTTTAGAAGTAATTTAATAAAAAAAACT